TCCCTTACGGTCTTGGATGACAATCACTGACAATGGCCTTCTTCTTCAGTTGTAATGCTATATTTAAAGAACATTATTTTGGTTGAAGGACCTGTCTGGTTGGTCTTTAAAACTAACAGGTTCAAAACTCAGATTTACAAAGGTATGTGGCATTTCAAATAAAACACAAATTTTTACAAAAAAAAATTTATATGTTCCACAAAAAACACCATATGCACCCCCGAAAAAAAAACAAAAAATTTAGCGTGCTATTTTGCATTTCATCCTACATTGCCCTTTGCATAAAATGTTTGTGATAGTAGTGTTCCAGGATCATTACATTCTGGGCATGGAGTGTTTTAAAGCATAAGCTCTGCTACACTTTACAGATGACTTCACACCCCGATGTGCTTGTTCTGAAGAAACAAGGTGCCTCCCTCCTTTCCACTCGATTTAAGAGCCATGTCCGGTCTTGGTCACTCTACCAAGCCATCCTGTGTCCTCCGGGCTGTGGCCTGTGACACTATACAACAAAAGCACAGCATTTCTCCTCCGAGGGTTTATGATTTAATGTGGGTATATATTAAACAAATGTATACATTCAAAGGCACAAGTAATTTATAACCAGTTCAACTGCTTTGACAATATAAAATGAATTCAACTTCTTGAAGGAAAAGTACTGTCATATTTTCAGGTGAGCAGTAATAATAGATAACACAGACACAGTGCTTGGCAACTTCAGGAGTGACTCATACAATTCAATGACTCCTCACAGCCACCGAGGATTCTGTCTGGCATCCTCCCCTCCAACCTCACTGAGGAAGAACCTGCTATCAAAATAACAGAAACCGGCGCGGTTCCACCTACTGGTGGTGGAGCCTGGAAGCCAACTGGGCTCCCAGGGAGTCGGGCTGCCGCTGCCTCTGATTGACCTCCCAGATAGGTCACCTCACTGGCTCACCACAGCCCACAGAGATAAGAGAGCTCACCGCACGCCCAGCACGGGCCCTCGGTGGTGACGCGTCACTCCTCACAGGCCCCACAACAGCAGGTGTTCCAGTGTTACCCCGTTTCCAAGGTGAGAAAATCGAGGCCCAATGGAAGCACCTGAGTGCCCAAGAGCAGCTAGCAGGCAGAGGAGTGAGAATTTACAACTGCGGCGGGTTAAGGCCAAGCAGGTGAGGAGCCGCCTGCAGACCAAGGAGAGGGGAGGAGAGCGGGAGGCTGGTCTTCCGTCCTGCACCCACCACCTCTCTGGAATGAAGGTAACCAGGACAGTGGGGGGCGTGCCTCCAGGAGGGCAAGGGGGCTTGGGGTGCAGACTGCTCTTTCAGCAGATGATGGGCAGAGAGAGGACAGGAGCTGGGGAAGGGGGAGAGAGAGGAAAGAGGAAGGAAGAAAGAGGAAAGAGGAAGGAAGAAAGAGGAGGGAGGAGGGAGAGGGAGACCACCAGGCGGGCACAACGCCTGCCGTCTGACTGTCTGCCCCACGGACACGCCCCATGGACACACCTCACGGATCCATACCTGTGTCCACCGTGAGCAGGCACTATGAGGAAATGCGACGTGGAGGAGGCGAGTAACCACCTCACCCTGGCAGCTTGTTCATGACCACAAGACAAAACCGTGGCCTCCGACCACCGCCTGCCACATGGCCCCCTCCACCCGCCCCCGAGAGCTGTGAGGGGATGAGGAGGGAGGAGGGAGGAGGGAGGAGGGAGGAGGAGGAGGGAGAGGACATGGCGTCTGCCTCTCAGCATGGGTCAGGTGGAAGAAGAGGGACACTCTAATTCAAGAACCAGCGAAGGGAAGCACAGCGTGTCTGCTCTGTGGGAAAGCCAGCCACTGGAACTCTGGGAGGGCTGAGATGCCTGGGAAAGAAGTGCGTCCCATCGTGCCCAGGCCCGGTGCCCGCATGGAGGAGATGGCACCAGCACTGAGGGGGCCCCTCCACACTTTCTAACAACTGAAGTGTCAGCTGCAGGGGAGCAGCTCCTCTCCCGGTAGAAAGCCTTCCCTGGGGAGCAGCAGCGGGCAGGGAGCACCCCTGAGCCACGGCTCTGCTGCTTCTGGCCTGCGGCCTGGCCTGCTCGGCACAGAGGCTCCTCAGAATCACAACCAACCCCCCGCACCAATTCCCTGAAATGCCGTCTACACCCACAGGCCACGCTCAGGTGGGATTGGCAACAACTCTCGGCAGAGGCCCAGGCAGTGATGTCACAGGCCCAGGCAGCAGCACTCTTTGAAGACGAATTAAACCCTGATGGAGCTCCTTTTCTCATTACTTAGAATAAAACAAACCAGGTCACTGAAACGGGCTGACACTTGGCATTTTGTTCATGTTCATTTCATGTTTCTTTTGTTAAGCCATCAATCCCCACGGCAATGCCTCAGCCACATGCTCCCAGTAACCGGGTGCCTCACTTCAGGAGGAGGACTTTGCAGGAGTCCAAAGAAGGAACGCGAGTGCAGGGAGGGCGCGCCAAGTTTCTTGCTTATGTCAACAGCTATTCACGAGCATGAATTATCTCTGTGGCTACTGAGCATGTGCAAAACACATTCCGGCCTCTGAGCAATCTCCCTGCTAAGGCCAAGGGGAGGGCTGAAGTGCCCATGGAAATGTCAAAACCGGCTGAACTTCCTAGAATACAGCAGTCAAATTTTTCCTCCCAGCGCCATGAGTGTTAAATATACCTTGATGAATTAAGTTCAAGTGTAACTACAACTGAAATATATGAATCAACTGAGCTCTGACCTATTTTCCTCTCAAAAGCAAAAGGAAACAATGATCGCTGTGAGACTTACATTTTTTCCATTCCAGCGGCTTTTGAAAGTTACTTCACAGTAGAGCTAAAGGCAAAATACACTTCGTGACATTTATTTGCTTTGAAATATAGTTATTTGTGTTATTGCTCATAGGACAGAATTTTTATAAAAACTTGTTAAGTTATATTTGTTCATTTATTTTTAAACTGTATAGACCAAGAGGCATTCGGGAGAACTAATCTCAGTATGTGACCCGCCACCCAAGTCCATCATTCAGCGACAACCATGTGATGTGCTTGCAAGAGAACCCCAGCGCATGAGAAGCACAAAGGTAACAGACACGCACAGTGGACACCACCTACCCCTGGCAGACAGCTTCTTGGTGTTGATGATTTTGGCAGCATATTCTTGACCAGTAGGGATTTTCATACATCTTCTCACCACTGAGAAAGCCCCCCTGAAAACAGAACATTGCCAGGTCACCTCTACAGTCAGCTCTGACAGTTACTTAAAAATTACATGTGGAGCATTTCTGGTGCATGTAGCAAACTGTCAAATATCAGTGCGCTACGCACTACCCAGAGAATGACCCACTCTTCCTGGAAGCCCCGACCAGCCTTGATGCCGAGAACAGAGTAAATCTTATTTAACTGGGAGCACACATCGTTAATCAACAAAATGACAGGGACTGCCAATACCCAGGCTCCTGTATGCACATGAAATAGGAAAACCTTTTGCAGTTCACACTCACACCGCACCAAATGCTCCAGGAAAAAACAGCCCTGCACAGAGCCGAGCTGAGGAAGAGCAGCAGAAATATCCTGGTAAGAAAAAATTAACGCGGCTCCGAGTGAGTAAAGATGGCGATTGTTTTCATTAAAATATAAATCTTGGGAACACTGGTGTGGTTTAACATGGTGATTTCTCTGTGCCTGTTTTGGGCTGGGGGAGGGGAGAGCTTTGAATTAAGCTGCTCTTCTGACATATTCTCCATGTTTTAACAACAAACAATGCATAAACATATAAGGATAGAAAGCTCATTCCATCTAAAAGGTATTTCCATTTCCTCTAATTCAGCTGCATGAACATCATCACAGGCCGCACCGTCTCATCAGTAATCGTGGAAACAGGCAGAGGATTGGGTTTGGGTCAGATGCTGCATAAACCATCAACCAGCATCCGGGTCGCCCCTGGGTCCCTGTGCACTACCCGACCCTCAGCAACCCGTGCCTGCTGCACACCTCCAGCCCCTGGGTCCCCGCGCATGGGCCTGGGAGGTGGGGGGGGGGCTCCCCTTGGCCTCCCTGCACCCCTTGGCCTCCCTGCACACCTCCAGCCCCTGGGTCCCCGCGCATGGGCCTGGGAGGTGGGGGGGGGGGCTCCCCTTGGCCTCCCTGCACCCCTTGGCCTCCCTGCACACCTCCAGCCCCTGGGTCCCCGCGCATGGGCCTGGGAGGTGGGGGGGGGGGCTCCCCTTGGCCTCCCTGCACCCCTTGGCCTCCCTGCACACCTCTCCCCTGGGTCCCCGCTCTCTCCCTGCACGCCT